CTGGTGTGTGTGTGTGTGTGTGTGTGTGTGTGTGTGTGTGTGTGTGTGTGTATGTGTGTGTGCACAAAGAAACCAATGGATTCAGCTGGCTATTTCAGTATCAACTCAATTCAAGTGTGTCCGCACAATAGATGTTCTTACATTATGTGACCAACTTGTGCGTGTTTGTATCATTATCAAAATGTCTGTGCGGAAAAGAAAAAAAAGAGAACCAGTCTGTACAATTTTTTTCACAATGACCAACGTATTGCAATATATTCATAATATATATATAGATCTCACCACACAGTAGTTTATGTGAAAATACCTGCGTGAAAAAAAACAATCCCAACAGATGTTGGACTGTACAAATCTTCCACAATGACCAATGTATTGCAAAATACATCAATATATAGAACTACACCACATTTCCATACTATACAGAGCAGTCATGACATAAATGATGAGAAAGCAGTGACCAAAAGCATGGACATTTTGTGGACGGTCATTGCAAAGAGTGGAAGTCAAAATCCCACTATTCATCGAATATCAGTGACAAACGAGATTTATAAGGTATAAGATCTCTTCTACAGATTCTGAACAAGAAGAAATTAACCACATATCAGGGTGAGTCAAGTACAATCTCAAAGTGAAACCACTGAAACTTGTCAGTAAATTTTCCATTAACATATTATTTATAGTTCTCTGCTTGAAAAAAAGGGGGGGGGGGAGGGGGAACTAAATAGTTTTGATTCACGGAACAGTATGTTCGGTTTCAATTAAAAAAAAAAAGAATGCAACAAAGGCAAATCAAGCTGACTTTGAAGAATAACTGCTTAACAAATTGCAAATCTTCTGGGTTTCCCTCATGGGCAAAAAAACAAATCTTTTTTTTACACAGTGTTTGATCATTTCTGAAAAAAAATATAGAAAAATTTGGTGGTTACACCAAAAAGATCAGAAAGGCCTGCTTTAAGTGGGCCCTGAACCCTGAGATGCCCTTGACATGGTAAGCTTTTGATACACGATGTACACATCAGCCAGAAACATGCTCACAAATTCGTCTATCGACCATACCTTTGCCCTTGTGATAAGATCGGCTAACCACAGGAGTAAACTTTACAGGAGAAGCAAAATATAAAAAATCTTTATTTCATCGTGCAGCAACCTGCTGGCAGGCTATGTTTTTTTTTCTAATGTATTAGGAGCATTTTTTGGCTCAAAATTCATGATTGTCTTTGACTGAGCATATAAAATGGATAATTTACAATTGAGTCATCGGATAAAATTATGGGAACTATTTTGAGGGTTAGCCAGTCTCATTACAACAAGGGTAACGATATTTATGTTTAGGATTGGGACAACCTGCTCCATGCATCATTGTACCTCAGATTATGACAGCTTAATAATCACTTTCAGTGGCATAGTCGCAAATACAAAGAGAAGTTAATTTTTGACAAGTAGCCTCATCCTTAATAAATCTAAAGGAGACAATAAAATTTTAAAAGGAAACTGTCTTGCTTAGTACGAAAAATCCGCCCCCCTCCCCCCCCCCAATCAATGCAGGTGTTTTTTTGCCCCACTGACACAATTTAGATCATTTAGGAGGCCAGTTTCCAAACCTGCCAGTTGTCAACTCAAGCCGAGAGGGATACAATATCCCAGCAGAAAGACCGAAATACTCTTTAACATTGAATGGTAAAGTTGCCTATATGCAAAACAAACACATTATATACAATCTTGACACTCAGCTTATTTCACACTGTTTCAAACATGTATCAAGAATCATTATTTATAATGGTGATATCACGGTCCAAAAGCAAAGCAGAAGCGATTTCTTATCAAATTTTAAGTCAAAATGTTTTGTTGTAGTGGTAAAAGTATTTTGGCATTTGCAATACTAATCAAATAGGTCATGTCAGTGCCAAACATTACAGGTGTAACTAGAGAGTAACATACAAAGAAAAAAAGGAGAAGAGATAAAGACGATAGATGTTTGAAACCAAAGAAATAGAAAACCCACAGCAGTAAACCCGCCAAATCACCCAAACAGTTAAAACTAGTCACCACTATTATATCAACTCAACCAAACCGAGTACAAGCCCCAGCATGCATCATCATTATTTACCCTTCTGCACACTGAATGCATGCTCCAGCCAGTGTTTTGTTGTAAATATGAGGTGTAAATCTAGCAGCCGTCCCTATGGAGCTCAGGTGCAATAGACAGTTCCAAACCTCAGGGAGTCAGGGCAAAAAGGGATTCTGGTCAACAACTTGTTTAATGAGATAACAAGGGTTTTATCTGCATTTGAAGTACTTTTGAGATATTGCATGTCAAAGTTTGTGACTTTTAAACACATAAGCAGAAAGAACCTTTTTTCATGTGTATTTTTCTTAAAGCAGAATAATCACTTCAGAATGAAACACAGATTACCATGTAGTGTGTTGCAGACATCCCCTGTAACAAACTATAACTGAAAACATCCACAAAATGCAGATAGAACTCCTTCAATCTCTTACGACAAAGTT